AGATATGCCAAAGTTTAAAGCGCGAAGCGTCACACGAATTCACAGCAATTTTTCCAACTTAACCACAAACGATGAACCGCTGGTAAGTGCGTCATGAGCATTACGTCAGTCGAGGTTATTTGATTTGAAACGCATTTAGTGCACATCAATTTGGTAAAAAGAAGTTAATAGGGTATTGAAACGTTATAAATAACTAGCGTTCCTGAAAGTTCTCCAACTGACGTGAATTAAAAATAAAAATGGCAGTCAAATTCGATTAGCACTGAAAAAGCCATGGCGCAAAAGAACAAAATCATATTAGACCTTATTTGCAGTAGTTGTTATCCCTAACTTTTCCCAATTTAATTTGTTTTCATTCCTGAAATAGTTTTTCAAAAGAAGTTTTGCGGTAAGACTTTCTCAAGAAAGCACACCTCTCCTTTTTGCTTGAGGAAGGAAGCTTAAATGATAAGAGTTTTGATTACCCAGTATTTATCATTAAACTCAAAGTTCTGGGCCAGTTATAATGTAATATAATGAATTCGATCCAATAAGTTTACACAACTAACCTGATTTCTGCCTTTACACGAACTTCTTCTTCCGATAACGTGACTTTCACTCAATGGTGGAGCTGGGAGAAGTGTGATGGACTGGCCGTCTGAAATTGACTACTAATTTTTGAGAGTGTTAACAAATATATTTAGCAGTTCCACCCACTTTTTTCTTTCGTCGTGTCCTGCTTCATCTTTTCTCCGCATTGGCTAAGCACAACGGCAATTTTTGCGTAGATTACAATATTAAGGAACATAGGAATTACGTAAAATCCCACCAGATCACCTACGTACATTACCTGAAAATCAACATTTCCAACTCATGCTTTTCATTTAAAATCTTAAAAGCTACCTTATATTTCCAATCCTCTCTTCCCATTTTAAAATCACAATAACCACCTTCTTCGTCAATTATGAGGCCAGAAAGGAAAAGCCATGGGAAATTGTAAATGAGGGAAAACGTCCAAATGATGCAGATTATAAGTTTTGCTCTGTTTACAGTACATACTGTCCTGAAAATATGTCCTTACAGAAAATATGGCTAGGAACTGTAAAGAGAACGTACCTTGCCCAAAATGGATGACATATGCCTATGAACCTTTCAATGGTGAAAGCTGTGATGGACAGTGCTGATGAGTTGATGGCAAGATATGGCAGGTAGGTAAATAAAGAACAACCTAAACAACAAGGATTAGCTTGTTCAATAAATTTCTATCATTTTGACTGACTTTTTCAACAAAGTTATAACAATAATGTTTTTTCTGGAAACATGAACAGTATAGAGCGCCCTAGGGCTACAGTACAGAAAAGTCCTGGCTAAAGAGTTTTGAATCAAAATTCTGACAAATGATGAGGTAAGGCTGATTCAGGTAAGGTAGAGAATGATACTCAATACAGAGACAAAGTTGTAGGTTTATTTTTCATTTTTCAATAGTTTTTTCTAATTCATTTGAGTTTCTCCCTCACAAGATTATACTTTCAGCTTGGTAACTGCAATGAAATCAGAGCATAAAACGAATTCCCGTTCAAAAGCGATGCTTTCTGACATCTATTTTACAACTACTCTTGTCAAAGTGATAGTCACATTTCTGCCATTCCATAGTAACATATGTTGGTGTGTTGAACATGTGGTGACAGTTGTAGATCTTATCATCAAAGTGATGTCAAGGAACTGACAAACTTTAAAATGACATTTACTTCAAAAGTATTCGAAGAACCTAGTGGCTACTCGATCTAGTCATGATTGAACTTTGATAACAGCTTATTACCATCATGAAAAAAATGCAAACAGTGCTAATATGTTAATTCGATTCCAATCT